CGTATTCTGCAATGTTTCTATTGGTTTGAGCAATTAGCTTAGAAACGTGTTGTTGATTGAAATAATGACCATTGGATGAGCAGGGAATGACGTAGGAATGACGTGGAGATGACGTGGGGATGACGACGAGATGACGCGGAGATGACGTGGGGATGACGACGAGATGACGACGGGATGACGACGGGATGACGACGGGATGACGATGTGCACGGGGTGTAGGCCATAACAAACTTATAACGATAAGAAAATACAGTTTATCGCCTGATGTGGAATATTATTTTCCTCCGTAATATTTATTGACTTTAATAATGTAAAAGATTTCTGTGTAGAGCAGAATACAAGCTCGTATACAAGATTTATAGTGTTTAAATCATAGATGATATTAATATTGTGGCATACGCGGGGAAGAGAGAAGTTTGTAAAGGGCCAGCGAGGTAAGAGCTCGAGTGTAAGAAGCACGGGTACCGCTATTTTAATGGACACGTAAATCAAACTTTACATAGATAAATTTCTCAGTGCTTTACGGGGTCGATTAGCGAAATATTAAAAGAAATATGATCGGTCTGAAATAATGGAAAGATAATAACCACTAAAATGTAAAGGATCAGGAGGCCCGGGGAAGTCAAATATTTGCGCTATATTTATAACTAAACCATTTTTAATCTTCGGGCTGCTTATGCAAAAGAAAGAGAGCAATAAAAGAGAGAGGCGCAATCAAGCAAATTAAAAAAGCCCTCGGTTCGCTGTTAATTACTTTCCGAGTCACATAGAGAGGCCAACGTGGCGCGCGCTTTAAGATCATAAACGTGACGGCTGATGCTTAAATACATATACAGGCGCTCTAACGCACACGCGCGCGCACTATCATTCACCGGCAGTGGAGACGTTCGAATTGGATCATCGTAAAGTTGCCCGGGGAAGAGGGTGCAAAAACTAAAATAAGAAGCCCATACAACCGAATGAGAAAAGAAGGCACAGACGGAGCAAGATTAAAGACCCTGTAAGTACGCCCCCACCGGAATGATGGATGCGATATCTGTTGGGGAAGCAAGAGGAAGACGAGAGAAAAGAGAGCTGTTCCTCCAGTAGGTGGAGCTTTTCAGTTTTACTTCGTCTTTTTTACTCTTTTTCGATCCCTTTTTACATACTTGGCGTTCGATCTGTGCCCTGAAAACTTGCCCTCTAGCACGATTCGTCGAGCTTTCAATATCGCCAAAGGAGTTATAGCTTCGACGAGACTGTGACCATTTGATATTACAAATATTTTACATCTTTATCTGTGAATCGCAGCTACAAGGTAGGTAAATGGATGGATGGATGGATGAATGGATGGATGGATGGATGGATGGATGGATGGATGGATGGACGGATGGATGGATGGATGGATGGGTGAATTATACGTGCGTGCTTGCTCGCGCCCGCATGTTTGTATGTGTGTGTGTGTGTGGGCGTGTGTTTGTGTTTGTGTGTGTGTGTGTGTGTGTGTGTGTGTGTGTGAGAGAGAGAGAGAGAGAGAGAGAGAGAGAGACAAAGAGTTAGTATGAGCGAGCGTGGTGGCGTGGGAAGGGGAGCGAGTGAAGAAGGGAGGGGGAAGAAGGGGTACATTTAGAAAAGCTAAATGTAATAAGATATTTGCTAGGCCAAGACAAGATGAGTAGATATATTTAGAAGTTGACGCCATGATGAATTTTAACAAGTCTCTAACACTAGTTGAATCACGTGTCTAAAATTCACTATAATTCTACTGCAATCACTATCGCAAAAACAGACGCTTTAGAAACGTCATTCCTCACCATAAAAATTGCTTACATAATAATAATCATAATGAAAAAATGTTTGGAGTTTTTGAAAGGTGATTCCCGGAACTTTACGGGAACGATTCTTCTTAAATAAAATTGATCGACCAATCATTTCATGCCTTTATACTTAAACAAAGCCAATTATTTGTATTATTCAAATGTACAATATAATCAGCCGTAACGGAAAAAGTAATATGTAACTTTTGGATACGTAACTTGGCAAATTCATCGGTAATTCAACTTGGTAGCACGAGTTTCAATATATAATTGGCAAACTAGGTACGCATTAACTTATTCCAACCAATTCTCTTTCGTTATAATACCCGGATATTTAAAGAACGTGTTTTTGAAGCACCACCACATATATAATTCTAACGATAAATATGCATTTGTTATATAGGAAATGCGAGACCACTGCTTATTAACTATCCGTAGACTCTACTTACACTAAGTGTCCGTTATACTTGTACGAGACATCGAAATTGTGATTTCTTAAACACAATTTCATTTTGCAATGGCAAGTTTGGTTTTTTTTTGTTTTTTTTTGTTTTTGTTTTTTTTTTTTTGCCTCGACGGCACACTCGCAACGCATGTTAATCAATAGAAAGATAGACAAAACGCCCTGGGCTGTCTTTTCATTTGCGAAATGAGATCGATTGCTTGGGGACGCTGCCCGTGTTTAGAATTCTTAATACATATACAAAAACATATGCGAGCATGGAAAAATACATTCTCCTAAGTCATCATTATGATATTATTATTTTTTCTTTTCTTTTATGTTCTCCTTCAGTCTTTGCGGTTCTTTGTCCAAGTGAAAAAAATATAACAAAAAAAAAAAATTAAAAAAAAAAATAAAAAAAAAATAATAAAGAAAGAACGACGCATTTTAGGATACATTACGGTCATGCAAAGTCATTAATATACTAAAGGAAGCAGAATTTTAGAGATCGGCCGTTATTAAGGAATACAGCAGGGCTCTTTCATTACCGATTGTACCGTCTTTGTCATGGCTTTGGACGAAGAAATACGACGTAGCTACTGAATTATAATGAAAAACGAACTATCTGACCACAAAACTTTCGTGTACATAAAGCATAACCTGTGAGATCTAAAAATTTTTTATATCGTATAACTTTATTTTATTATTTTTCTTAGCGCATTAACCGGACGCTTATTTACTATTTACAATAGACTTTTCTGCAACGCTTAGAGCGCCGCGGGCACGGTAGCGTCTAGTGCCCCTCGCCAATTGGTTTAAAAGAAAACCAAAAAACAAAAACAAAAACAAAAACAAAAACAAAACAAAAAAAAAACAAGTAATAGAACGGCGAATGGTGCGTTAGCAAAATGTTGTTTCGTCGTCGAGGCATAACAACGAAGCGTCGATCCCTAAACAAGCGACTAAACATTGCTCCGAGTGTCATGGCGATCGGCACAACACGACACGCGCTCACGGGCACAACCAAGCGACGATCAATTACCCAATCAATTAAAAGCGATACTCTAACCGAATCCTCCAGCCCACAACCACCCTCTCACCCTCTCGCGCGTATGAACAATCTAAATGTTAATACGCGACCACACCTTCGGGGCAGCGGCGCAAAAAGCGTCACGCCGAGACAAAAAACGGGAGGCTGCCCGAGCGCTAACGAGGCCCGGGGATTCTCGGCTCGATTCGTAAAAATCCGGCTGCCCGTGCGCGCTTTCGGAATTATAAGAGTCGTAACGCGGCGATATAATTATCTCGCGTCGCGGGCTTAAAACGTGTAATTATTTGTCGGCCCCGCCGACCCCCGTCGACCCCCGTCGACCCCCGTCCTCGGCGCCCTCGAGGCCCCGTTAATTACAGGGTGGCCGCGCGAGAATGTGAATTAACAATGGCCGCGAATCGGTTATACGAGGCTCATCGCTCATTAACTGCCACTCATTTCGCGTGAAATAATTTTCTGGCCAAACTTTTGCGTTACCTTGCCCCGCTGGCTGGCTCGTGCTCAACGCACAGCTTCTTAACTTTGCCCCGACGAGCTGAAAAAAATCCCTAAAGTCCACTGCTTCGCGAATGCCGATGCAACCTCGTCAGACCACCGCGACGTCCATGCATTTTGTTACGTTTCTTCTTCGTGAGGAATGCGAGGTGTATTCGTTACGACCTCTCCGCAATTACGTATTTCTATGCAATTTTTTCATTTCACATACATTCGCCTCACTCCAGTGATATAGTTCACTCACGGATGTCCGAGCAACGACAATGAGTTTCCTCACCTTATCCCATTATCGCAAATCGAGCCATTCAATCATTATTTTTCCTTTCAAATTGCCTCTCAACCGACAATACCAAATCACCTCCCGACGCATCCATACGATAAACGCACACGAGCACGTGTACTACAATGTATTAATAGTTGGCTAATAATTGGCTCGTTTCATTAATAAAGATAAGTTCTCCGTTGCGACAGAAGTTTGCAAATATATCAATGCTAATTGCAAGTCATTTTTCAGCATCTCTTACCTCGTGCACTAAGCGAGCGACAACGGCTAGGCGCTTTTTAATAAAAACAAATTGCCCCCTTTTCTTCCCCCACCAACGTGTCATGTAGTATCACTCAGTCTACTCACACGCAACCATATAATAAATATTGTGCATCACGCGCGCACAGGCACACATAGAGAGTAGAACTATGTGTCAATTGTATTCGAGGACGTATCGCTGCTCGTAGATCGCTTAATCAATGATCTACGCAGACGGAGATGCGTCGTCGGTTAAGCAGGGTCCTCGTACTCATGATAAAAAAAAAAAAAAAAGGCGACTTAATCGAAAGATCATAATAATATTTCAAGTAAGTTGGGAGCAGAAATTGAATGTCGAGGTGGCCAAGTGACGCTTCCCGTGGCTCATCGCATCATCATATTAAGCATCGACGAAGTAAGGGGTATCGTCGTGGTGGCCACTTTGGCACGTCCATTAAAAAAAGAAAACAAACAAACAACAACAACAACAATAAAAAAAAAGCCAAGTAATTTCTGCCCCGTATGTGCCGTATGTAATGATAAGATAATCGGTGATCGGTGCACCAGCGGAGAGCCGTCCGGCCTAGCGGCACTGGTCTTATAAAGATTCTTGGTAAAGTCGAGGAGAGCGAAGCAGCCGTGGTGCGAGGCGCGAGGCCACACGATTCTCCACCTAGGGCACCGATAACGTGTACAGAGCGTTTAGATAATACACAATGTACTTGCCTGACGCACCTGTTTGAACTGCTCCTCGAAGCTCCAACTGGTCTGCTGCTGGTGGGCGGACTGCTGTCCTTGGGAGCCCGGCTGGGTATGGACCCCGACGCCGGTACCGCAGCCACCGCCACCGCCACCACCGCCACCGCCACCGACACCACCACCACCACCACTACCCGCCGATTCTCGGTTGGCGGTGACCTCGAGCCCGTTGCGTCCGCTGCCCTGCGACGACTCGCTAGAGTGTGAGCTCGCCGAGGACGCGTGGGCACTGCCCCCGCCGTTGTTGTTATTACTTCCGGGTCCGGCACCGTTACTGCTGCCGGACTGCCCGAGAAGAGGGTTGCCCGGATGCTGGGGGTGCTGCTGCTGCTGACCCGGGGCGAGGAACGCGCCCGGAGCCGGGAACGAGAACGGCAGGTTGAAGCCGCCACCGCTCATTGCCGCTTGAAGGGCCTCGAGACCGCTCTTGTTGTTCAGGATGTCCATGTCGTTCTACGACAAAGTTGAGGATCATTTTTTTTTTTTTTTTTTTTTTTTTTTTTTTTTTTTTTTTTTTTTTTGGGTGCTAGTTTTTCTTTTGACATTGCGACGTGTCGAGAACGGGAGATAAGAAATTATCATTGATTATTTAAGATTCGGTGTTGTAAGATGCAGCTTGATCGCGAATATTTTCATTAACCCCTCGTGGAATAACGATCTCCGATGTCATTTGACTTTCCAGGCGCGAGTCATTTACGCAAGCGCGAACGATAAAGTTTCAATCGATGTAGAATCCATTCAGGCGCCAAGCTTTTTTTTTTTGAAGAATTAGATTGAACTGCTTTGGAAGATAAACCACACGATCCTCTAATAACGTTTCGACAAATAAACTAAATATTTGTGGTCGGCTGTTGCTGTAATGCACTCGTTTCACTAATTCAATTGGAGGGGTGGCGGGGGGAGGGGGGAG